CCCCAAAACCCCAAAACCCCAAAACCCCAAAACCCCAGGTTGATAAATTGACCCAAAATATAGCAATATCTAGAAATATATTATAAAATTAGAAGTGCCATAATGAATTTGAAAAATCAGGATAATTAATTTCCAGAAAGCAATCAGAGAACTTTATCTGAGAATGGATAGGATGTATCTGATTGGATAGTACTATCTCTAAGCTTAATGAGTTTAGCCATAGTTTCATTTTATGTTCTCTATGAATAACTTTATCCTGTCATAAACAAGAAGAAATTGAAGCGAATTTAATGGGAGGACTATTTAAAGCTCTACTGACCTGATGAATTTTAAAGGCTTTAAAAATTGAAATAATAGTAGAATTTACTAGTGAAAGCGAATTTCTCCTCTATAAACTAAAGTAATCTTAATAATTATGACTATATGCACAAGCAAGAGACATCAGAATAAAAAGATAATTTTACAAATTAAGTTAAAACATTTTTCTCAAAAAGGCTAGGCAAAAATATCCTAAGAAAGAAGAAAACAAAGCGAGAGTCACTTAGAGACTTCTAAAGCTACTCTAACTCTACAGGAGAGTAATTGTCCCCTGACAAATTTGATTAATCGAATTCCTAGATTTACCTTAAGTCTGAGAATTCAATGTCTCATTCAGACTATCTACCCTAAAATCTTGATTAGAAAAACCAATATCCAAGATAGAGTGTAACGCCATTGTAAAATTTGCTATAGTTAAATGAACCAATTCAGTAAAATAACTTCTCTCCAAACGATAAAAAGATTAATCTGATTGAGATTAAGCAAAAAGAGGTTTAAAGTTATGGTAATTCTCAAATTGAGACCAGAAAGAATAATATCGAACTAATTCCTAATCTCGATTTGATTAATGAAGTAGATTATGATTAAAATCAAAGGGAATCTACAGGTGGGGATATGCTTATACCTATAAAACGAAGGAAGATTATGTGATTCAAATTTTCGAGTGTGAAATTAAAATATGCTTTATTATTCCCAACTTATTTTTTATTTATTAACACTTATCTGGGGTTTTGGGGTTTTGGGGTTTTGGGG